GTCATTTGTGTTGCCGTATAATTTTCCGAAATAACGTAAGCCATAGCATCTTCTAGTTTGTTATCACAATGATTTATTTGACAGTTTTTCTTGCGCATTAAGATTTATATCATTACTTATTCTCTGTACGGCACTGCTACGTAATTATTGTAGTCTCGTGCCAAAATCTATTAAATTTTCATTTTTATACGGGGTAGTTCTAGTTAGTTCTTGCGTTATACAATCTAAATTTCGTCGATCGGAAAAACACTGCTCTAATTCATTCCTTAATGAACGCCAATCACTTAGTTCAACCCGGTTTCCTACCATGGCTTTAGCTTTGCCTATCAATTTTTCTTGTATACACTCAAAAATGTGGCCAATAAATTCTGGGTCATTATAATCTCTATAAGTTGCTATTAAATTTTCACAACGAGACATAAATTTTTTTAATGTATTATTATCGCCATCATATGGCTTAATATTTGACACTTTGAACCTAAAAAGATCCCAGTTAATAGCGCGAGGTGCTGCTACAGGCAGGTATTGGAGGAACCATATTATCAAAATTTAAATTTGAACTTTCACTTAAAATACTATTATTACTACTTTCTACAGATTCAATATCAAGATACTGAATTGAGTTAATATTTTATCAATTTCATTCATTAAATTCTTGATAAACTTATTTATTCAAAATCAAAATCAAAAATAACATATATTTAATTACTATCTGTTTTTAGATATAAGACTTTAAAGGTTAAAAGGAACTTGGAACTCACCCCTATGAATGCAGTTCGTCGAAGCTTCTTTTTTACTGCCAGTGATTCTCTGCAACTTGAAGTCTTGTCGGTGGTTGTTGTTTGTTTCTTGAGGGTAGATTCGTATCGGATTTGCACTTAAAACGTTGAAACGTTAAAGTCCGAAAAGAGTTCTGGTAACGACAAAAGCGAAGTATTCAGTTTTTTCGCGGCTCGCACAAATCCTACTGACTGCGCCAGATAGATTTTTAAACACCGAAAAAGACTTCTAAAAAATTTTATTTATTAAATACAAAATTCAAAGGCGTGTTTACTGAAAATATTAAATTGTAAAAATTAGATGATTTTTATATATTCTTATATAAACATAAACCTAACACATCAAAAGAATCCATCTCCATCGTTTGGATGATTATATAAAAATGATTAAATAACAAAGATATTTGCGTGCAATAATCCACTGGAAGAGAAAGGAATCTATTGGTATAAGCTTTTCAGAATCATAGAACAATATAGAAATTGGATTCACTTGTTACCCTTCCGTGTGTATACCAGATAATAAGAAAATTAATACAAACCACAAACACTACACACAAAGGTAAAATATAATATATCAAGCTGTTACGTTAAACTTGTCTGCGAATATTTCATAATATCCTTTTGAGATCAAAGGGTAACTCTCAAAGCAAATATCATTCGAAATATGTATATATAGATCTCCGCATTTAGGTACATTATGCGAATATTAGTTATTATGAGTGCTTAATAACTCAAGGATTATGGCTTTGTCAAGCAAGCACAGTGATGATAAAATTGTAGACGAGTAGTGGCAAAATAAGTTTTACAAACAAAATTAAATTTAAAAGATTAAACGTAGGTTATCTGAAATAACCTACTCAATGATCAATTAGATATTAATAACTCATCCTTATTAAATCTCTTTCCTAGTTTTCTGTGAGATAATCCCGGTAATGTTACTGTCTTATTGTTATTTGATTGATATAATTACTTAAGTACCCTTATTTACTTTAAATAGTTAGTTTATTTTGTTATGTTATTGATGTTTTCTTAAGTACTTTGTTTTGTTAAATTATTTCGCATATATATTGGATACCGAATTGTGAATTAGTCACATTTGAAAAAGAAGTTGTACTTCGAAACATGTCATGTGTAGTGTTTTTAATTTTTATTTTTTATTTTTTAAAATAAAAGTTTTGTGAAAATCTACCAAATTTGGTTTTACTCATTCAAGATTAAATATTAGTGTTTGTTATTGGAAGGCCGGAAGGGGTCTATTTATTTCGGCGAAATTATGGAGACTAGAGATAAAGAGACTAATCGGCATACTCAAAATACGGTCCCAAAAAACGCATGCTAATTGAGCTTCTACAATTAACCGCATGGGCGCTGGTATTGCATACGTTGTTCAAAATACATAACTTCTTAAGGAAATTATACATAGTTTTGTCAAAATAATAAAAATAAACTTGTTTACAGCTAAATAAAGCACAGAACATACTGTTGTATTTATTTCTAAATAAGTTTTGCTTGTTTTAATTGATAAATTATTTAATTTTATATATATGAAATACAAATTAGGTATGTATGACCAAATTCGAAAAGGTTTCTTAATTGCTGAAATTTGATAAGTACAATTTTGTGGCAAATTTTTTTTGAATTAAACCAATATATAGTTTTAAGAGTAAAATAAAACACAATTAACAGATTTTTTTATTGTTGTAATATAAGTATAAAAAAACATTTGGGAATCTACATGGTAATACCTCATCCTTTAATTTTAGCTTTCCCCTTTTTATTTTGCTAACAGTACCACCAGTAAAAATAGTCTTATAATATTTGATATCTTCTAAAAAGTATAGAACAGCATCGTCTCTAGAAAGTGCTTTATCGGCACTAGGAACGATATATATGTTGCCACTGTTCTAAACGTTTAGTATTCTATAAAAAAACATTTAAAATGACACAATTGGTGTCCAAAAAAAAAAACAGTAACAACTTTTTATCTAACATTAAAACTCTATAAAAAATAAATTTTCTTTTCTAGTTAGTTAAATTTATTGCATAATTATTGTTGTTTGTAAATCAGCGTCTATAATTGTAAAATTATATATTATAGAAACTTATAATAAAATTAACGACACTTTGTAAGATACATATTGTGACTAGTTTACAATAAATATTATATTTAGACATGAGTACATTATTTTACTTACATTAAAAGCTTTAAAAGAACATTAAATTGATTTCTTCTTGTGTTTTCTTTAGTTTTATAGGTAGTTGATTTTTATCCTGTTTTACAATCTGAAACGACGTAAATCTTGCTTTGATGTTTTTTGTCACTCATGTTACTTGTACTCAGGTACTTTTTTTCAAATTATTTTGATTCTTTTCATCAATTTTTTAAAAAAAATCACTTTATTTTACATTGACTTATATAGAAAATTGACTGCGCTGTCATTAGACATGCCAAATACAGTCAATTTCGCGAACTTTATAAAAAAAAGGACGGAAATTTGAAATTTGACCATTGCCGATTCGCCTCGTTCTCTCTAGTCTTCATAGGCGAAATCTACATATAATTAAGATTGAACTTCACTAAAGGTAAGTTCGTTTAATCTGTTAATTATATTTCGGTTTCGTCTTATAAATAATCTTTGTGTAGTTGTTTAAATTAAAATGCAACAAGAATTTATTTCTAAAATATAAATCAATAATTTTACGAAAAAAGTATTCTATAAATTCCTCTCATCCTGAAAGCAGTAGCATACTGTTATGGCGGTTTTCCACTAAATGGACAAACCAAAAACAAAACACAAACTCGTGTCGAAAAAAATAAAACTGCAACTTTTCGCAAACTTTTTAAAGACTGGTGTGTTTCGCGACAGTTGGAGTTTTATTTCTCTAGTCCCGCTTGGAAGCGGTAACTTTAAAATGTTTTAACGTGTTTTGAAACTCAAGTCTATTTACTAGAAACAGTCTTGTTGTTTAGTCTAAATTTTGTACCAAATTGATTTAAGTAAGTAAATAACGTATTTTAAATTTACCTGATAGTTGTACTTGTTAGAATGCCCACGTTCTACCTTGAATTCCCTAGTTCAGTGTAAGCCATTGACTGGAGTAATAACCTGAGTATTTCTTTCTATTTCTATATGTGTGTTTTCCTTTGTATTTTTGATCTAAAACATTAAAAATACTTTTTTTTTAGAATTTTTGGTAGATTCCTAATATTTTCAAATATTAATTTCAATTATTACAGTTTATTATTTGTACATTTTCTTATTTATGTGATCAAGTAGTTACCTTATCAGAATAATCCATTTTTTCCTTTTAACAGGTTTTGTGGGAAACAAAAAGTTAACAAATGTTTTGGTCACTACATAGTATGTACATTGTACAGTGTGGTACAAAATACATGACCATTCTAAAGTAGTTTTAGACACTGTAACACAAAATATAAAACATAAATTGCAGTCGTAAAACTAAATTATTGTCTCAAAGTACAGGTGAATAAAATAACAATCTCAAAAATACTTTTATGCAAGGGGCAAATCACTGAGAATGTAGGTATATATACAAAAAGGAGGATTTACGAGGATTATGGAGGATTTCTCGAGAATATATAAAGATGTACAAGGATGTATGATGATGTACGAGGATTTACGAGTATGTATAAGGATTCCTCGAGGATGTATGATGATTAGAAAAAAACGCTTTCCGTCAATCAATCATGAATTAAGTCTAGTTCATGTTTCCAAATTTTGCAGGTATATACTCTGATCAACATATCCCAATTTTAATCATATTCTAGCTCGCTTCGCTAATAATTATAAACTAAAGTAGACGGAGGATATAACACGAACTGAAAATATTCTCCAAAGGCGAACTCATTCGAAGGAGTTTGTAACTAACCCTTCCATAAACACCTCTACTCACATCCGGGAATGGAGTGGGAAAGATCTACCATTCTCACGGGACTGATAATAAGACATTGTAGTCTAGATAACCACATGAGAAGGATAGGTCTGCAACAAAGATCGGCCTGTGGATTGTGCGGAGTAAAAGATGAATCCAAAGAGCACATTCTATGTACCTACTCGCCTTTGAGAGGATCAAATTTTCAGATCTTCGGATTCACCCGACTGGAGCATACCGACTTTAAACAGGCTCACCCAATTCAATCATAGCCTTCATCAAAAGGTAAACTATAAATTAGACATTAGCCACAATAGATTCATGTGGGTCGAAGTGGAAGGCAATGTATCCTTTCTTTACAGCCTAACCTGGCCTAGATACAGTATGCAAAATACACGGATTTTTATTAAAGTTAGTGGGAAGCGAAGAAAATCGGTTGTATATTTTTTGGGTGCCTATTTATAACTAGGCTAAAATTAACCCACCACATTTTTAATTTGTTAAATACATATTATCAAAAAATAATTATTTTAATTGGATATTTGACATAACAGTCTTAAAAAACATTATTTATGCTAAACATAATAACAATAAAAAACGCACCAACTAATTAAAAGAAAAAACTATTTTATTCGAATAAGTAATACTTAAATATTAAGTAAATTTACAACACTGGATACGAAGTATCTAAAGCTATACCGCATTGACCTGTATTCCTAGATAATCTAAAGTACCCAGCTTCCCCCCAATCACTACTCCAGGAATTTTTAATAATCCAATATGGTTCCGGGTCAGCACCATAACCTACAGCTAGTACTCCATGATCCAAATAGGCTGCACTATTGTAGCAATAGTTGCTCGTAAATATACCTCCACCATAAAATTGAATAGGTTCGGCGTAGATGGCAACAGAGATTGGACCAACAGTGCCTATAAAAACAATTAAGCTTAATGAAATTTTTTAGTATATCTATTTTTATTTAAATCCCAAAAATTAATGTAATCAGAAACTCGAGTAGCTACTGTTTGCTAGATTATATTTATCATTTTTGACCTTAACAAGAATTTCACTGAATTTATATCGACAGTGTAAATAAAAAAAAAATGAGATAGCCAGGACATATTCCTAATACACTCCAAGGGATAATCACAAAAAAAAATCAATAGTATCTTGAACTAGGTATTCTTAAAAAAGTATTAATAAACTAATTTCACTTGAACTCACCCACAGCCTCCTTCAAGGCTTCTTCGTTTGATTCAACTTGCTTATAACCCTTGACTGCCATCACTGATTTTCCTGATACGCTACAGGAACCTTGCTCAGCTGTATAAGGATAACTAGTTTCAGCAACGATACCATTGTCGATGACGTATTCAAAAGCAGCGACCATATCTCCACCAACTTGACAGTCCCCGTTTCCATATTTTCCAGAGCAGTCCAACAATTGTTGTTCGCTCAGAGGTATTTTCTGGTTGTTCAAAATAGCGTTCTGTCCTTCAAGAGCTCCAGTCTGAAATGTACAATATATAGTTCTTAAGATATCTCGATCCGTAATATATTTTTACGATTTTTCTCATTTTCTGTCATAAAAGTGTTGAAATTGTTAAGGTGTCTATAGTTGCGATGTTCCAAATTATTATGTAAAAGCTCTTAACACCTGAACGTGTTTTAAAATCAAGGTTTAAGTACTTACAGCACTGAAAGCCCAGCATGATCCACATTGTCCTTGATCCTTAACATTTAACACAGCATTTTTCTCCCGCCAATCAATGCTAGCAGGAGCAGAAACATTCTGTACATGCAGAGATCTTCGTACTGTAGGCCTAGCATTTTGCTGACGCTTCAACATCGCGCTGAACTCCTTTGGAGTCATATCAGTAAACTTGTTCACCTTCATCCAGTACGTTTCAAGACCAGCTTCGTATCTGGCATTATGAATGTTGATGGTTTCTAAATTGTTTTGGAATATTTGCAGGCGTATTGTCTCTTCTAGAATACCGTTGTATTTTTTGGCGTGTTTGTATTTAAAGTAGGACCAATGGTCAGGTTCGTTGAGACAGTTGACGAACAAAATGGTAGATGCAAAGGTGATCAATAGTTTCATTTTCCTTTTTTTTTTTCCTGAAATAAATTAATGCTTTAAATATTTATAATATAAATGCAAATTTTTGATTGAATAACAAATTGAATACTCTTAAAATCGTACCATACCCAGCTAGACATAAAAGAGGTTATTTTTTTCAAAAATTATTTTTTCTACGTCCACGTAGGAAAGTGATACATTATTTAGTCTTATGAATATGAATCTACGAGTACTTTCCGCATCAGAAGTCAAATCGGACGCATTCTTTCTATTTTGATTTATGTAATGTCTATAATAATAATAATGAAATTAATTTTTTAATTAAATTGTTAACATTGATTTTTATACCTAGATTGTCCTAGAAGCCAAATATTTAGTTTAAAAAAAATATTAAAATAATTTAAAGTAAATACAATATATTAGTCTTTTTTTTTTATCAATATTCGTGATTTAAATTAATTTTCGCGCGCCTGTCATTTTTCACCTATAAGTAGGATAATTACTAAGATGAATAAGTAAACTGTATTGAAGTAACTATTCGCAATTCAAGCTAAGTGATACGCCCTCTGGAGGAAATTTGTAGAATTTGTATTGTGATTATAAATAGGATATTGTTCAGTGTTGCCGGGAGTAGCGAAATTTCGCTACGTCGTTGGATTTTATGCCCTTTATTTATTTATTTAAGTAGCAAAATTTTGTTGTCTTCTAATAAGTAATCATACTCTATAGTTATTTAAAGATTTTTTTATAAAACCGATTTATTAAATTGATTTCTTTTAAATTTTAGTTAATTTATCAATTTTGTTTTAAAATCAGTTCTTCATTTGGCAACATTGGCGTTCCTGTTCACTGGTTATATTTTAATTTGTATCAATTATAATTCGAAGTTTTTCTTACTTGTGATCTTTAAATTTGTTTATTTCTTATAGTGTGTGATAGTGTTTATATTAAAAATCTGATGTGTCCAACACATTACTTTCCTATCTAGTTATTATAGGCTTTTTCCGGTTATTTTGTACAACTTATTGTTACACCTCTATAAATGTTTAGAGGATAAACTAAATATATACATTTTCCACATACATCTAACTCGAAACATTTTTCTTTAGATATTCATTGAAAACGAAAATACTGAAAAATTTAAATTTAGCACTTTTCTTCCAATTTTTCCATTACGGTCCATTTTAGAAAAAACATTTAAAAAAAAAATTATAGAGACTGATATCGCAACTTTTAGTTTAACAATTTTCTTAAAAATCAGAATTTTGCACATTTTTTTCAAATTTCTCGAATACGGACCATTTCAGGAAAATTTGACATAAAACAGAAATTATAGATAATAATATTAGAAGTAACTTTTATTTGAACAATTTTCTTCTCCAAACATAAATAACAGATATATTCCATAAAATATAAAAACGACCTCCCATAAAGTACCCCCCCAGATGTTGCGACTTTGTCCAAAATCTAATCATTTCACGTTAAGCCGAAGTAAAACTTAAATTTAATTTAATGTTTTTTCCTTTATCTGTTTTTGAGTTTTCTTCAAAATTCGAAATTTACACATTTTCTTAAATATCTCGAATACGGTCCATTATAGAGAAATTATGTATAAAATAAAAATTATACAGAATTAGATAACAAACAACTTTTATTTGAATAATTTTTATGAAAAAATATTTTTTTACATTTTGACAAATTTCTTGAATACGGAGCATTTAAGGACAATTTGGTATAGACCAAAAAATATTGATAAAAATATTGTTACTTTTATTTGAAAAATTTTCTTCTCCAAACGTAAATAAAAGATATATTCCATAAAATATAAAAATGACAACCAATAAAGTACCCCCCCAGATGTTCCGACTCTGCCCAAAATCTAATCAGTTCATTGGACGCCGGAATAAAGCTTAAGTTTAAAATTTGGTGTTTTTCTTTGTATCGGTTCATGAGTTATAGTGAATACAGACACACAGACATCATCCCGAAAATAGTCAAAACGGATTCAGGGGACCCCAAAACGTAAAAATCCGTCGAAAACTGGAGGTCGTAAAAAATCATGATTCCTATACTTTCCTTATCTGTATACAGATAGGAAAGTAAAAAGAAACTAATGAAAATCATTATTATATACTAATATTTTATGTACCTAATGTTATTTTACCCATATTATCCTACATAAGTGTTTATAAATGGAATTACAAAGTTAGTAATAAACAAATATAAAACCAGCCACATCTTGGTTGATCCTTTATACCTAACCAGATTTGCTTATTTATATTTTTTTGTTCGACTTATTACTTTTTGTATTTAAAAAATCTGATGTGTCCAACACATGACTTTCCTATCTAGTTATTATAGGCTTTTTCCGGTTATTTTGTACAACCTATTGCAGCACCTCTATAAATGTTTAGAGGAGGATAAACTAAATATATACATTGTCCACATACATCTACCTCGAAACATTTTTCCATAGATTTTCATTGAAAACGAAAATACTGAAAAATTTAAATTTAGCACTTTTCCATTACGGTCCATTTTAGAAAAATCATGTATAAATAAAAATTATAGAGATCGATATCGCAAACAACTTTTAGTTCAACAATTTTCATAAAAATCAGAATTTTGCACATTTTGTCAAATTTCTCGAATACGGACCATTTCAGGAAATTTTGACAAACAGCAAAAATTATAGATAATAATATTAGAAGTAACTTTTATTTAAACAATTTTCTTCTCCAAACATAAATAACAGATATATTCCATAAAATAAAAAAACGGCCTCCCATAAAGTACCCCCCAGATGTTCCGACTTTGTCCAAAATCTAATCATGTCACGTTAGGCCGAAATAAACCTTTAGTTTAAAATTTAATGTTTTTTTCTTTATCCGTTTTTGAGTTTTCTTCAAAATTCGAAATTTACACATTTTCTCAAATATTTTGAATACGTATTATGTATAGAACAAAAATTATATTAGAAGTAACTTTTATTTGAAGAATTTTCTTCTACAAACGTAAATAACAGATATATTCCATAAAATATAAAAATGACCACTTATAAAGTACCCCCCAGATGTTCCGACTCTGCCCAAAATCTAATCAGTTCATTAAACGATGGAATAAAGCTTAAGTTTAAAATTTGGTGTTTCTCTGTGTATCGGTTCATGAGTTATGCGTTATACAGACACACACACAGACACACAGACACCCAGACACACAGACACACACACAGACATCATCGCGAAAATAGTCAAAACGGATTCAGGGGACCTCAAAACGTAAAAATCCGTCGAAAACTCGAGGTCGAAAAAAATCATGATTCCTATACTTTCCTTATATCTGTATACAGATAGGAAAGTAAAAATAAACTAATGAAAATCATTTTTGTATTCTAATATTTTTTGTACCTAATGTTATTTTACCCATATTATCCTATACAGTGTGTCTACTTAAGTTGGAACCATATGGAAAACATTTTTATTATTGATTTTAGGAAAAAAAGTTATTCTTGATAAAAAGTCCTGCATGACCCAAAACTTAATATACATTCATCAGATATCAAATTTTTCAAGCCGTATACGAGGTTTGTCAAAAAATATGAGTTTTGCTCAAGAGTAAAGTACGTTTATTTTTTTACAATATCGAAAATTTTTATTAAGAAATTTGCTAAATTCTTCACAAACATCAACAAAAGGAAAGCGTATCATGTTTATAGTAGCTAACGTAATTTATAACGTTTTCAGATATTTACAATCAATGTGTAGAGTGTAGAGTTTATAAAAAATAATAAAATCTGTTTTTTCAGATAGATCGGTGTATTTGCATATTTGAATGTAATATTCAATTTTAATCAACTTTTCTTAATAAAAATTTTCGATTTTGTCAAAAATAAACGTACTTTACTCTTGAGCAAAATTCATACTTTGACAAACCTCGTATACGGCTTGAAAAATTTGATATGTGATGACTATATTTTAGGTTTTGGGTCATGCAGGACTTTTTATCAAGAATAACTTTTTTTTCCTAAAATCAATAATAAAAATGTTTTCCATATGGTTCCAACTTAAGTAGATAGTAATATCGACAAAATAGCCTTCGTAAAATACTTTAAAACCTATTTAAAAAGGCAAATAAAAAACAAACAAATATAAAACCAGCTACATCTTGTTTGAACCTCTATACCTAACCAGCTTTGCTTGTTTTACATTTTTTTTATAAAACTCTTTTGTAGTCATAGGTAAAATACTGTACATTAATAGCATTAATAACATTAATAATTAGGGACTTACCAAAATAGAACAACAAAATAGAACTATAATGCTAACTATTAAGAAGTTATCTATTTATACTCGCATTCAGACATCCTCTTGAAATTAATTTGAATTAAATCTAGTTTACCCAACATTTATCTTAAAGTTTGACACAATAGCTGACACAGATATTTAAAATTTCTATTAGTCATTATCAATCTTCAAACATTACTTTTCACTATCGAAAGTTAGACGCAATTTTATTAAACAAAGAGAAATTTACATGTATTTTTCATATTTTACTCACGGTAACATCCTAATTATTGAAAATATAAAAAATCCCTTCACCAATTACAGCTTATTTGAAAATGCATGAGAGCACAGTTTTTATGACAAAGGTCTATATGCCCAAAGCCGACAGCTTCTTAAAAACATGGATAACAGTCCGCTTCTGCAATATAGCCTAGTGGAGTCTGGTAAAGATAAAAACCCTAACAGGGTTCACAACAGTCACATAATAGTTGACGATCAAAGTTTAAATGTTTTATTGTTTCTCGTGACATATCCCTTGATTTGAGTTCAGATTAGTTCAGTGATAAGATACTAACCGCAACATTTTAACTCCATGTTCTTTTGCTATTTCATCTAAATTATACTTCTTAAATTTTGTTGAATGTTGTTTACATAACTGCAATAGCTCTTTTTTGAGTAATCTCTCTTCTGCCACTATTTCTTTGGTTATTAGCCAATCGGAGAGTTCTTGATTTTTCATTTAGCGTTAGGTAAGGGTTCCTTTAATCTTGAATGGTAACTGGCATTGCCCATAACTATTACAGAATTGGTCGGTAATAAATCTATCATTTAACTAAAATATTCCTCAAAAACATCAGCAATTATTTCTTCCTGGTAGTCTTTCGTCGAATTTGAAACAAATTCTAACAGCCTCTATCAACAAAACCTTTATCTCCTCCAATATAAGTGATAATTAAACGGCGACCTTTTAACATTTGGAAATTTTAAGCCAGTAGATAATCCTTCTATAAATGCCTGACGAGGATTTGTAACCCGTTTATCTTGCCAATTTTTTTACAAAATGTCCTTCATCTATCCATGTTTCATCTAAATAAAAAATATTTTTGTCTTATCTTCTTAATTTTTTAATTTCCCTTAAATATTGGCTTCTCCAGAAAATAATTCCATCTTTCTCTATGAGCGCAGATTTTCTATCGTTCCAAACGAAGTTTAATTCACGAAAAAGTTTTCCATAATTTGTTTCTTTTAATGTTTGACAAAGTTTCGTTTCCATTAATGTCTATTATAAGTTTATCCAAAGTAGGTATTTTTTTTGTAAATAAATCGAGCGCACTTTTCTTCGTATCAGTTGTTTCATAGTACCACCGTCTATTTAAATGGGTTTTCTCCCAGTTGATGTTTTTGATGCTAGTGTAACACTTCCAAACTTTCGTTGCTTCAAAAGACTATAAAAGGTTGCTTCTCCATCTCAGGTCATATTTGAACACTTGTATACTATTGAAATGTTCATGAACAAAGGCGTCATGTACATTTTACAGTAAAGTTTTCATATTCACGGTTAAATTTCACAGGAGTATAAATAGACACTTTATTATTTTTATTGCACAAATTCACTTGATCAATATCGCTGTTTATCGCCTATTATTACCGAACTAACAATTTTGCGTGTTATAGTTGCAGGACTATACAAACACAAATGTATATCTTAACTAAAATAATTTACAATCTGCGTAACACTTTCTGCAGATTAGAAATTTAAATCCTTTCTAAGAAAGTTTAGGGCTATTTAAATTGATCTTAAATTGTAAATATTTTCTACCTGGAGAGATTACGTATTTACCTTATTTTTGTTGATTAAAATGGCTAGAAAATTTAAGACAAGAATTCAAATAATTTGGTATTTTTAAAAATTTTAGAAAGAGAACCAAAGAATTTATTTTGGAAAAATAATGCTAAACATTTTATTTTATAAATTCTCCTTCACTGATTTATGATGTTATATTGGGATTTATCTCCGTATACCTGTTTCGAAAATAATAAATGTTTTCCGATTTCTTGCAAAAATTAACATTAATAAAAAATAAAATAATTTGATTACAGAAATTCGTTACAACATACTCAAAAACTAATAAGTAATACTGTTTATTTCTAGATAATGCCTAGGTGTAGAATAAGCCTGATGCTACAGTTAGTATCAGTGGTGTGCCATTAAAAGGGGATCACTGGTACCAGTTACCACATTTTTTAGGGGTTTAGTTTGGACAACCCTCTGATATTAAAACAGCAATGGTTTATATACCAAATGTGTAACAGATGACAATAGTGTTTTCCATTATTTAAAGCTAATCAAGAGCCTCTTTAGAGCTACCAGTGGTTACAGTATCTCTTACCCTCTCACCCTTATACATCACCTCTCAGAAATCAGATGAAATACTACCTTGTGATAGTTCATTGGATAGGTTATTTCAGTAGGAATTCAGTTGTATAATTTTCAGGTCTGAATTTTGCGGAGTAGGTTTCCCAAGTCTGACAAATTCAATTTATGGTCAGTGAGTCATACGCATCGCAATGGTACGTTTAATCATGTCCCTCGCTTAATTAAAATTATGACAGTTCTATCTTCTGAGGTAATACGAGTGAGCCTATTTTAAAAATGGCCCTTTATAATTGATAGTGCTTTCAGATTATTAATTTTTTTCAAATTCCGTTTTTTATTTTGAAATGTTTTAAGCCTATAATTAAAGAATTTATTAAAATATCCTGTGTATTAATAACTAGTCATAGAATGAAGTTGAGGATGTGGAAGCAATTGTTCGGAAATTTAAAATTTTTATTGTGTACTATTTGTATATCGAATGTTTTAGTACTGTGTTCTATAATAATTTTATTTAGGTACATCTTTTTGTAGCCAATTTTAATTTCTTGCTAATGTAGCTTTGATAAATAGCGTTATTGGACAACGCCTATTACCAGTAGGTAACAACGTGATTTCCATATAATTGATTTGGTACGCAACACAAATATTTGTTAAACGTCGTTGTTAGAATAACATTAAACAGTGACAAAAGAAGGCTGACAAGAATGGTAAATTAATTTGTACAGAGCAATCTGTAAATCAGCTAATCCTTTTATATTGTGGTACTTAGAGAATGTTTGCACTCTAAATTTCTGGTAAAATAAAAGAATTAAGAAAATATAAAATTAGGGATAAGGAATAACTTTTTAACGCAAATTGTAAAGTGATCATAATTTCTTTTCGAAAACTGATTTAATTCAAACAAAGATAAAAGCAATAACAAAATATGTAATTATCTTAAAATCACTTTTATCGAATATTATCAATCTTGACATACTTCTTATCTAATAATGGATCAAGTAGTTCGTGAATTAAACAAAGAAAATACTAAAAACTAGGTAGAAATATTTTTATTGGATTTCGATTAGGTCATTGATTGTATTATTTACAAGATGAGTGCACATTCATTATGTATATCATTAAGTATATCATTTGTAAAATATATACCTATATACATGGTGTATCCAAAGTAATCTGAAATATTGTTGTAGACGATTTGTCGTTCAATCTTAGCTATTACAATGCTCATAAATGCAATTGAAATGTGTAAAATTCGAGTATTTGATTTTCATTCTAAGCTGCACAATAATTAATATAGTTTATTGATTGTTTTTTACCAAAAAATAAGGGATGAAACTATCATCCTACAGAAATTTTAAATAAAAATATAAAGGAATCAGTCAGAAAAAAACCAAAGGTCAATAATTTACCTGATAAATTAGTATATTAAAATTCATTATTTTCCAAATAAGACGACATAAATGTAGTTCCATCTATTCTGAACCTAAAAAAAAAGTATATTTTAGAATTGCAGAATAAATTTCCAAAAAAAATACGGAATGTTTTATAAGAAACAATTGAGAATTTTTCTAACCTAACTTTTACCATTTTCTGTACGACCAATTATCTCGTAAATAGCTAATCCCAATTGTACAAAATTTGGGTTACACCTAGTTTGGGATACGGTGATTTTAGATTTGATATTTGCAATGTTGCCAGATTTGCCGTTTCTCTTAAATTATTAGTCACTTTGATTTTTCAAATTCATCACCCTGTATATTCAGTCATTATTGGAATCTCCTATTCAACGAGTTCAACCATATGTAACATTTATGATTTTATGTAGTCTGGAAGGTCTTAAATAAATAAAATAAGTCTGGTAACGCCTAATTATCTCAATAAATTTTTTAATACAAATTATTTTCAACTACATTAAAACGTAACAATTGAAAGATTATAACATTTTTAACATAATGGTTACTTTATGAATTGTTCAAAATGTGCTCCATTTGTGAGTTGACAGTACCCTAATCGATGGTAGAATGCGTCTACCACATTTCTCCATGATTGTTTTATTTTCATAAATTTCCGCAGCCTCTGTAGAGTTTCTGTGGGCTACGAAGGTGGTATACTTAAGAGCCATATTTGAAAATAATAACGTAACAGAAATTAAATTTAACACAAAAAAGCAACGAATTGAAAATAAACGAATAAAATCTAATGTTAAACCAACTATAATTTGACAGTTATAAAACATATTTTTGGCTCGCCTACTAGACCAAATTGAGCAGAGCAGCAAAATTAATTAGGACATTTTTAGATTTGTTTATTTCAGCATTCATTTAAAAGAAAGTACCATGTTTTGATACATTTTTGAAAAGGGAATTAACAATTCTATTTAATGCAATAAAAATCCAATATGGCGTCCATAAGAAAAACAAAGTTATAGTAAATATCTCGAAAACGGAAGAAGAAATTCTTTTGTTTTATTTTTTATTGTAAAAACCCTAAAAAAGTGCCCACAGAATGTCTAGCTCAAAATACTGTCCTTAAATAATCGAGATACAGAGGACTGTCAAAAACCCACCATTTTCGTTTTTCGCGATTTATTCAAAAACCAAAAATAACTGACAAAATGTAATAGCAGTTCTGAAATGGTAATATAATCCTGAAAAACATTGCCCATTTAACCATTTTTTTAGTTCCTATAATAACCGAGATAGCAATACATGCAGCACCAATCTGGGACACATATGGGTTACCTTACGCTTGCTTTACTGCACAAGTTGCGCCTTCTTGGTTCTTCTTGGTTGATCGGCCGTAGCTACCCAGCTACCCTTTGCATTGTGACTGTTCACATCTCATCATCCCCTGATCCTTGACCACCCTGGAATGGTCCCTTCCCGATCTGGTTTGGTCCTTGAGCTGCTGAACTTGGTAACCCTTTTGGATGAGGTTCTTTCTGCTGTGTTAGTCTATCCATTTTCCAACAGACTCTGGCTTTGGACCCTCTGTTTGAGTCTTGCTCTAGACTGCTTCTCTCACTTGCTACTGTAAGACTGCTACTGTACATGGCTGCTTTACACGGCTGCAGCTGGTAAGTTCCCAGTGACTAACTACTGGGAATGGTTTCTTTTTTGAACCTTAGTCCATTCCATATAAATTATCTTTGGTTTCTTCTTTTCTCATTGGGATTCATATTCTTCCTACTGTGGATTTTGCTCCCACAGACTCAACATCATGTCAAACTCCCTTGGCGATATGCTTCATTCCCTCTGAGAGCTTGGTGGTATTGGTTGGCCCTTGCTTTTGAATTTGGATGCAGCAGTTTCTTTGTAGCCTTGGATTTCTGAAGTCCTGGAATTCGGCCCATTGTCTGCCATAGATCGTGGAATCGTGAAACCCTGGATTGCCTTGGTACGGTTCTGGATTTGGGTAACTATCACCATTTAGACTTCGTAATAGTCCTGGAAACGGTGCTGATGGTGACTCTGGCAAAGGTAGTACGATGTTGACCTCTTCTTCTTTTTTATTTTTCTTTTTTCTTCTTCTTTTTCTTCTTCTTGTGCAGTGGCAACGTCTAATTTCCAAAATTCTTGTGGAATCATGCATTTTAATAATCTACTAA